AAAAAAACCATCCTGGTAGGAAGCGATGGGGCTGGATTGAAGGACCCCAAAAGGGAGAAGGGAATCCTGCATCCACACTGGAGAAACAGCCCAGTTTGGTACCACTTTAATAACTAGGTGCCCCAACAAACTGCAATGCCCAGTATCCCCTAGCATGGATCCAGGGCAGTGAGTGAGTGATTCAAGTGGTGCCAAGCCGGACTCTTTCTCCAGTGTGGATCTTCCGGAGTTTCCCAGCCAGCCAGCCAGCCAGCCAGGGATCTCAGTGGATCCCAGATCCCCCTTCCGCCCAGAGATCCCCCATCCGGAGCCACTTGCCTTTGCAGGGCGGACTGTCCGGCTCTCCTGTCCCGCAGCTGTCGGAGCGGAGGAAGAGGAGGAGGAGGAAGAGGAAGGCAGCGATGATGGTGATGCTGCTGCTGCTGCTGCTGCTGAGAGCATTGCCTTGTTCTTCTTCCCTGCTCTCTCTGGGAGCCTCCCGCCGCTGCTGGCTGCGCTGGCTGCCCCCCGCCTGCAGGGGGCGCCCAAGCTTCACCGCCTGCCCTGGAGGGCTGCCCTTGGAATCCTAGAGTTGGAAGGGACCCCAGAGGGTCATCTAGTCCAACCCCCTGCTGACATGCAGGAACTCCCCATCAAAGCACACACGCACGCACACACCCCTGTGACAGATGGCCATCCAGCCTTGGTTGAAAGACCTCCAAAGAAGGAAACTCCACTCAGGGAGGCGCCAGGGGATTGATGGAGAAGCCCTGAAAATCTTTCAGATGAAGGAAGGGAAGGAAAGGGGGGGAGGGAGGGAAGTAAGCAGCTATCCAGGACCTGAGGTGTTTCCAAGCTCAGTTTCAGAGAAGCCAGGGAGGGAGTATAAAAATAAAAATCAAGAAATGCAGCTGTCCAAAACTTCAGAGGTGCCAGGCTCAGTTGCAGAGAAACCAAAAAAGGTCGTTTAAATAAATAAAGAGATAAAGGGATGCAGCTGTCCAAGACCTGAGATGTGTCAGGCACCACTTCAGAGAAGCCAGGAAATTTATAGAAAGAAAGAAAGAAAGGAATGGAAGCAGCTGTCCACAACCTGAGATGTGGCAGGCTCTGCTTCAGAGAAGCCAAGAAGGTCATTTAATCAAATAGATAAAGCAATGCAGCTGTCCAAGACCTGAGATGTGCCAGGCTCTGCTTCAAAGAAGTCAGGAAGGTCATATAAAGAAAGGAATGAATGAAACGATGGAAGCAACTGTCCCCAACCTGAGATGTCCCATGCTCTGCTTCAGAGAATCCAAGAAGGTCTTTTAAATAAATAAAGAGATAAAGACATGTAGCTGTCCAAGATCTCAGATGTGTCAGGCTCAGCTTCAGAGATGCCAGGAAGGGTGTATGTATACATGAATGAATGAATGAATGAATAAAAGCAGCTGTTCCCAACCTAAGATGTGCCAGGTTCAGCTTCAGAGATGTCAGAAAGGACATTTAAGTAAGGAATAAATAAATGCAGCTGTCCACAATCTGAGATGTCCCAGACTTCAGAGAATCCAGGAAGATGATTTAAGTAAAGAGATAAATGAATAAAAGCAGCTGTCCATGTCTGAGATGTGCCAGGCTCAGCTTCAGAGAAGTCAGAAAGGTGGATTAAATAAAGAAATAATGAATAAATAAACAAAGCAGCTGTTTTCAACCTGAGATGTGCCAGGCCTGACTTCAGAAAAACCAGGAAGGTTGCTTAAAGAAAGAAAGAAATGAAGGGAAGGAGCTGACCCAGACTTCAGATATGCCAGGCTCAGCTTCAGAGAATTCAGGATGGATTCATATTCATTCATTCATTTTAAAAAGCAGCTGTCCCTGACCTGAGATGTGCCAGGCTCGGCTTCAGAAAAGCTGCCACATTTGTTATGGTGGGAAGGTTGTGCAGAGAAAGAAAGAAAGAAAGAAAGAGGAAGGAAGGAAGGAAGGAAGGAAGGAAGGAAGGAAGGAAGGAAGGAAGGAAGGAAGGAAGGAAGGAAGGAAGGAAGGAAGGAAGGAAGGAAGGAAGGAAGGCATGAAAAGCAGCTGTCCAAGACCAGAGATGTCCCAGGTTCAGCTTCAGAGAAGCCAGGATGGTCATATATATATTAAAAAGCAGCTGTTCCAGACCTGAGATGACCCCGGCTCCTCTTCAGAGTCCCTCCTGGGGTCCTGAGGAAGTGGGCTTTGCTGAAGGCTAAGCTCAGTCAGAGCCCCTGTCCAAGAAATTGTTGTTGTTGTGTCATTTTTGACTTATGGAGACCCCCTAAGATGGGGTATTCTGAGCAAGTTTCTTCAGAAGGACTTTGTCATTGAACATCCCTTGAGGCTGAGAGAGTGTGACTTGCCCAGTGGGTTTCCACCGCCCAGCCGGGATTCGAACCCGGGTCCCCAGAGTCCTAGTCCAACACTCAAACTCCTAGGCCACACCAGCTCCCTGGGGCATTT